TATCTTTTTCATGTGATTGCTTCATATGCTTCTCGAACAATCTCAGAACGTTAAAGGTTTTATTGCACAGCTTACAATGGAGAACCTGTTTCGCTTTGTGAATTCTTATGTGGTTTTTCAAATGCCCTATTTTCATGTATTGCTTTTGACAGTACTCGCATTTGAGGGATTGAGTATCTTCGTTGTCTTTCGATTCATTCTTTATGACTGTTTTATCTGTAGACGTTGAATCCATCGTGTATACATCATTCAGATCCTCATTCTTTATAATGACGCAACTAAAAATATTTCCATCGTTGGTTTTTGAAAGTGTATTTTGACTCTGTGTATCTCGTATATTTTCGTTTTCTTCGCACTGCTGAAACATTCGAAATAGAATAATTTCAATCATTATGTTACGTTTATAATATTGAGATACAACATTGTACATTATACTGCATTATTACATTGATATCGTTTGATGTATTCTGTGTGTCTTCCGTCATTGCAGCCTCACCTCCATCCATCTTATTCGACAAATGTTTAATCCATTCTTCTTCTGTTCTCAGATTTTCCATACCTTTTCCTATACCTTGAAAATTCTCGCGTGCATTTTGTCTGAACAATACGTCATATGGAATTCTGCCATTCTGATAGTGATACGTCGTGTTATGAACAATCTGTATGAAATTCAGTCCCTCACACCAGGTTCTAGTTGGATTTTTTTTCATCCATGATTCAAGCGAACTCTTAAAATCTCTGTAACTAACTTCGCACTTAGACGCGTCCCCATGCAATATGAACAAATCATTCCACATTGAACGTAGTTCACATACAACTTGTTCAGCAAACGTACGTCCATTGCCGCTTTGTAATACTCGCGGTGCTCCTATGATTCCCAATACATCTAACAGATTCGCGGCGACCTCTTTGGCTGTATTGCTATGGAGAGCTTTTAGTATAACAAATTTAGAAAACTGATCTTCATAAACGAAAAAATACTTATAATTAAATGTTGAATCAACTGTCATCTCTATTACGTCGATGCGACCTTTATTATATAATTTCTCTGAATCATCAGTCAATTTTTTGTATGACTGATTTAAAGAATCTGTTTGACAGGGCTGAAAACAGTACATAGAATAATTTTAATTAGATTTTTAGTACATAAAACATTTTAAATTATATATTGTCATATAAGATGACAATGATATCTATTCTTAAATTAAATGTCTAATCTTAGTGTTATTGTAGTATTTAATAATAATAATTTTATTACATGTACTTATACAAATTAGATATAAGTATTCAGGGTGTTTCCAAATTAAATGGCAAAACTTCGGGAGCGTGTAGAGGAGTAAAAAACTAAGAAAAAAAGTCCTATAGACATATGCTCGTTTTTGCTCCGTTTCAGAGAAATCGAAAAAAAATGTTTACATTTCTTGCCATATCTAGCACCGACATATTTGATTACATTTTCCACTTTCTGTTATGAATTTGTCAGTCGCTCTTTGAAAGCCTTTAACAGTAGATGAATTTTGTCTTTTGCAATATGCCGCGTACGTATTCTAATAGTGAATATGCTGATATGGTTTTTGTATACGGTTTCTGCAACGGTAATGCTTTAAAGGCGGTGCGAGAATATGCACGACGATTTCCAAACAGAAGAGTGCCAAACCGAAGAGTGTTTATGTTGACATTTAATAGATTGCGAGAGACTGGAACATTTTCAATTCGACAAGAAAACAACCGATTTCAAGCAGCGTTACGAAGAGATTTGCAGGCAGGGAATCGTATTTTACAACATTTTGACAATCATCCTGAGACCAGCGTTCGGAATGCGTCGGCTGTATTGGGAGTGTCACCACAAACAATTTGGCGAACTGTAAAAGGAGATAATCGCTATCCCTACCACATTCAAAAAGTGCAAAATTTATTACCTCAAGATCATTGGAACAGATTGAACTTTTGTAACTGGTACCTTCAGACATGCCACAATGATATTTTATTTCCATCTAAAATAATGTGGTCAGATGAGGCAACATTTACCAGAGGTGGAATAATTAATCAAAGGAATTATGGGCTCATCAAAATCCCAGGTCTGTTAGAGAATACAAATTTCAGCAAGAGTTTTCTGTTAATGTCTGGCTTGGAATTTGGAACGACGTTTTAGTGGGACCGTTTTTTTTACCTGCAAGATTAAATGGGGACCGTTTTCTAAATTTCTTGGAGAATGAATTTTCTGACTATTTAGAAAACATCCCATTACAACAACGTACTGAAATGTGGTTTCAATTAGATGGATGCCCTGCTCATTACAGCAGAGTCGCTAGAACCTGGTTAGATAGAAAATTCCCACAACGATGGATTGGACGTGGAGGAGCAGTACATTGGGCAACTCGTTCGCCCGACTTAACGCCATTAGATTTCTATGCATGGGGTACTCTGAAGCAAGAAGTTTATTCTTCGCCTATTCAATCAGAGCAACATTTGAGAAATCGTATCGTAGCTGCAGCGAACAGAATATCGCAAGAACAGTGCCTGGCTGCTACAAGAGCCGTGTTTGACAGATGCAATGCTTGTATTGCTGCAAGAGGTGCACATTTCGAACAAAATCTTCATTAAAAAGTTTATAAATAAAATAATTAAAATAATAAATTAAATATATTTTTTTCTTTTTTCGTGATTTCCTGCGAAACAAAGCAAAAAGGAGCATATGTCTATAGGACTTTTTTTCTTAGTTTTTTACTCCTCTACACGCTCCCGAAGTTTTGCCATTTAATTTGGAAACACCCTGTATAATACACAAAGATTTAAATGTTATAATTCATTTACTGGATAGAATAAAATTAAAACTTACTGTTGCATCCAAATAACTGTTCTGTTGTTTAATTTCCTTGTCCTCTTTAGACAAGACTTGCAGATGCATGATTTTGTTTTGCGCAGATTGCTGTGAATTTAGAGTACTTTGAAAAAACTCTGCTTTTTGCTTTATAATTAAGAAGTCCTGATTTTTGTCTTCTGGTAGCAAGTGATCCAAAGAATTGTGCATATATGTATTTTGTGGTATCCATTCCATACTTAACGGCATTTCTTTGTTCATTATTATTTATCATATGTTGTACTTAATACTGTGTTTCTTTGTTCCTACTGCTTTCTCTATCATTTCCTGTAATTAATTAACAGTTTTATTATACAGCTATTAAATAAAAAAGAAACCAATGTCTTCATTAAAATCTCTTTATCACAAAAAATAAATAGACATTAATAAAATCAGCACTAATTTACTTCATAATGGTTATTTTTATTGTAACTTAGGCTTGATTTTTCATTTTCTGGTTAATTTAATATATGTATGTGGTTAACCAGATATTTTATCTAATAGGCTTCATCAATGGAGGTATTTGATGACGCAAATTGACACAAATCGACACAAGTGTCATCCTGTCTTTATTATTCTCTGTCTGTCAAGAAATGTAGAAGAAAGACGTTTGTGTCGAATTTTGTCATTAAATGGAAAACAACCTATGATGATATGAGTGAAGCTCAATGAATGAAATATCAGGCTAAGATATCCATAAGTTAACCAGATAATGAAAAATTGGGCCTTATAAAGATTAATTCAAAACTGTTATTCCTTTACGTATTATCTATATAGTCTTACATGTCAAAAATCAAGCCGGCATAATAGAACATACAATCACTTCTCGATCGAAAAATAACCTATAACGTCACATAAATTCGACTTGTATCAATTCCCAGTTGCTGCGTTTATTTGAAAAAATTACTTAATTGGGATTTGTATATCACATTAAATTGTCCTCTCGTGCATCTTGCTTTGCTTTAATCGGAGAGAAACCTGAGAGCGGTCATCCCTGATTTTTCCGGTTTTTTCATGTAACGCTTATACCAGCGTACCAACTCCAACGTCTACTTTTGCCTTTAGAAGTGCTTAGAAGTCGACTGTTGGCCGATCGTTGAGTCGACGACTATCCGTTAAACTCGCTTCTTCACCGTTTATAGACAAGCCGCTACGAACTTATTGTAGAAGTAAGATTGCAAATAATTCAGAATCAGTGGCTGTGACAGATTTCCTAACCTGAGCCTGAATTCTTAATAAATATCGCATATGAGATATACGAAGAACTGTAGTATACGTATATTGTATATACGTATGTGTAGCAAACGAATCGGTTAGAAGGTTATAATTGTTCTTTGACATAACCTTTTGCTCTTAGAAATATCGATGATCGAAAGAATCGATAAATGCGCAGAACGATATGCGTGCTTCCCTGAGGTGCGTTCCAATACTCGACTCTATCAACTCCCCTATAAGCGCAAAATGTTCCTAGAATGTTACATGAATATTATTAAAAAAAAATTAAAATAATGTTATTATAATATTTCGAAAATATCATAAATATTTTTTAATATTACAGGAGTATTCTATAGAGGTTATATGTCCACTTATATAATAAACCTAGGTATTATATTTTAATATTCCTGAAACATTATTAAAATATTAATAAATATTAATTATTTTTAATTTTGTGCAATTTGAATTCACAATCCAGTAACGAAAAGTTCTTATCAGTCTATGCTGCA